GCTAATTATCGAATTCAACATAAATATGCCGAAATTGCATGTAATCAAGTAAGTGATATTTAATTTCACTACATTCATTATAAAATTTTATTTTCATACATTTATAATTTTTTTAAAAAATTGTACACGTAAAAAGTTATTCGTGATTTTAACTCCGTCTACTCGAAATTGAAGTAGTCGATCCCAAACCCGGATAAAGGAGGAGGGTTTATGTTTTTTTTTTAAATAAAAATGTTTTAGAAAATGTATATTTACTATTTTAAAAATTATAAATGTTTTGACGAGCCCCGATAAATGTTTTGGAAAATGTATATTTTAAAAAAAAATAGAAAATGTGCATATATATTTTTTGAATTTAAGATTTAGTTGTATAGAGTAAAAAAAAAAAAGGCGAGCTCGCCCAAAAGGAAACGAGCCGAGCTCGTGCGAGTATGGGCCGAGTCAGCTCGGCTCGGCCCATTGACACCACTAGGTGGGATAGATTCAGTTGGAGACAGATTAAAATCCAAAAAACGATCTTCATGTATAATCTCCCACTGAAGAGAGGTCTTTTGGAAGTATGGGATGTTTTCAAATAAGGTGACTTCAAGGCTTACAAACGTTCGTTTTGTGGAAGGGTCATAGCACTTGTAGCCCTTTTGGTGAGGAGAGTATCCAATCAAAACACACTTAATAGCCCAAGGATCAAGTTTACTTCTGTGATGGGAGTGAACATGGTCAAATGCAGTGCACCCAAACACTTTTAGAGCTAGAGTAGAGTAGAGACGAGAGGTAGGAAAAAATTGTTGAAATTTGTTTAGAGGTGATTCAAAATTTAGAGTGCGGTTAGGCATACGGTTGATGAGGTAGGTGGCTATTAGGATAGCGTCTCCCCAAAACATTTTAGGCATCTTTGTAGTAAACATTAAGGCACGAGCAACTTCTAGAAGGTGTCTATTTTTGCATTCGGCAATCCCATTTTGTTGGGGAGTGTCGACACAAGAACTTTGATGGATGATCCCGTGCGTTTTAAGAAAATTTCCCATGATCTTATTGAAATATTTTGTGCCGTTATCAGTGCGTAGGATTTGAATTTGAGTATGGAATTAAGTTTGAACCATGGTATAAAAATTGATAAATACAGTACGAACATCTGATTTGTCTTTTAGTAGATAAACCCAACAAATTTGAGTGTGGTCGTCAATAAATGTAACAAACCACTTCGAATGAGTACGGTTCAGGGTTCGCAAAGGGCCCCATAAGTCACTGTGGATCATGGTAAATGGTTTTGGTGGTTTGTATGTGGATTTCGGGAATGGCGTGTGGGTATGTTTTGCAAGTTCACAAATTTCGCATTGAAAATCAACATACTGTTTATTCAGGAAAATGGAAGGAAATACACGTTTCAAGTACTGAAAATTAGGGTGACCTATCCTAAAATGCCATAATAGAATTTCACTACTTCTAGGAACAGACGCAGAGTTACTAAGTGAAACTTGACATGGTTTACTCACATCGGCCTCTTCAAAGTAATAGAGTCCTCCACATTTTTTAGCACTGCCAATCATCTTCCCCGATGATAGGTCCTGAAAAACACAGTGAGATGGAAGAAATTTAGCAGAGCAATTGGAATTTTTGGTTAACTAACTTATAGACATTAAATTGCAGGATAAATTTGGAACATGGAGAACAGACTATAGGGTTATAGAGTCAGAGATTTTTATATTCCCTTTTCCTGCAACTGAAGAGAAGGATCCATCTGCAATTTTAACTTTAAGGCACCGTTTGGTAACCATTATTCTAGAAAAAAATGTATTCTTTGTGTCAAATCACACCTTTTTTGTGGTTGAAAATGAAGGAAAAGGTATTGATGTGATGGAAAATATTATTTTATTGATGAATGTGTGGTTGAAAATTAGTAGAAGAATGAGAATGAAAAAAAGAATGGTTACCAAACGGTGCCTAA